TTTCTGGTGCTTTCACTTCCAGAGACAGTTGTAAGCACTGTGTAACTGCCTCGAGGGTGCTTGACCATTTTAACACAACGTGGTGCGATCACCCCCCTTGCGCGGAGCGAGGGTTCTCCACCCCGCACAACATGATCTACTCGACCACCATTATGGCTACCGCCAAAAAAAACGGAGGTAATGAAAAAAATCGGTAACTAACCTGGTTGTCGAGTTCACGAAGTGAGTTAGCTTGTTTTACAACGTCGTTGCCAAGCGACGAAAACCCAATCCCGATGGCAAACACCGGGGGGGATCGGCTTGTTTTACAACGTCATTGTCAAGCAACGGAAACCCAACCCTGATGGCAAACACCGGGGGGGGCGTCCGAGGGATGGTATGGTCCACACACCACACACACAGAGGGTGGCAAAACCGAGATGGATAAGTTTTTTGTCCGGTCGCAAGAGGGGGAGTACCCTGGCATGCGGCGGTGTTGCAGGGAGCTAAGAGGTTCATGACCTCCTGGCACGAGAAGGAAGAAGAGGCCAGCCGACAACAAGCGCTCAAACGAAACCACAAGCCACCAACCAATGGGGCGGGAGGGGGGCAGGAGACGGACGAGACGGCGAGGGAAGGAAACGAGAAGAGGCGGACCGAGTGGCGCGATAAGTGCCGGATTGAATTTCTTTTAGCCAATTCCCCCCCCCCCAACGCTGCACCATTGGACCATCCCCCCACTAGTGATGACGTACACAGGTGGCCAGAGGGCAGGTAGTGGGTGGGTTGTGAGCATCCACAAGGTAGGGGAAGGTTGTAGAGGGGGGGGGTTGGGAGGAGGCCCCAACCTTGGCCAAACGGCTTGGTTGTACAAGGACGGATGCGGAAGGTTGGGAGGCAGCCACAACGTCAGGCGACACCTCTTGGTGGTGCAGGCATAGATCACACAGGTTGGGGGGCATCCAAAACCATAGGCCAGACCTCCTGGTTGTGAAAGGACTGATTTACAGGTTGGGAGGCGGTCACAACCGAAGGCCAGACCTCCTGGCTGTAAGATTGTGTCGGTTCGACGGTCCGGGACAACTGGAGTTGTAGTCTACACTTGAGTTTATTTATTTTTTCCGGCTGGACAAACACGCAGTATTTCGTCTCCAACACAGGTATGTAGATATACGAGCCCAGGACACGTTGGCACCATGCATACTAAATGAACGCATGCACTACTCCATTTGGGGTTTTGTGTGAGTTTGTACGGGGATTCGCGAGTGCTAGGTGTGTACCAGCTACAGGGTACAACAAAACTCTCAGATCCCGTTGTGAATCCCGCCAGACAGATGGGAAGAGGGGGTGGGGGGCATCCGAACCAGCGAGCCCCCTGCAGAAATGTGCTTGGCCTTGTTTGTGTTGATTGGCCCCAAGCCGAGTGCTGCTGGATGAGCACGGCTGTCCCGGTTGAAAAGGTGAAGAGATGGTGAAGTTGTGTTATTGGTCGTCCTTGTAGACACAAGCAACGGAAGAGAGTGGGCACCAGGGTGCATCACAAACACCGAGGCACGCGAGCAACAGTCGCAAGACGCATTCGGAACTCGGAACACATGACGACACGGAACGCGTGACAACTTGCCATACCACAACCCGAGGTACCCCGAATATCCAAATGACTGATGGACGGCCACGTACTTGCGCACTGACCCTGCTCAAAACCACACATGAGTACTACCCCAGTAGCCTTCGTGAGGATGGCATAATCCACCTCGCGAACACCCTCCCTGATTATGTTCATCATTACGAATGCTCCCAAAAACCAAAGTGTTCAGGGTACTCATAGACAAACTCCAAAAGTGAAAAAAAACAAACAAACGAAGGGAAACCCTGCCACCGGATCAAAACCCTCCGCCCCCACGGGTGCATTGGGCAAGGTACAGGAGAATCCCGGTGATGGCCTGGAATCTCTGCTTGTCCTCGGGTCCGAGTAGTTGGTCTTGTGGCTGCTCGGTTGATAGTTCTGCTCCATACCCGGGGGTGCTGACCGGGTTTGCCTGTTCCATTCCGTATCGCTGTAGGATATCTCTCGCGTAGGGTCCTTGCGATATGGCTAGTGTGCCATGTTCGTAGTCCCGCTGCACTTCGATGCCGATTACGCGCTTGACCTCTCCCATGTCTGTCATTTCGAAGCTGTCCATGAGTTCCTTCTTTTT